CTTGTCTAAAAGAGCAACTAACATATAAAAGATCTAGTCCTAGAACTCCACAAAATGGCAAGGGAACTACTGGAATGCTCTCTGGGAAGGAAGGAGTGATGGACATGGTCTATGCTCCCCTTCTAACTTAAAAGCACAGACCAGTGCACCATCTTGGTGCCCTAACTGGCCTGCAACCTCAGTAAGCCCTGGGCCCCTAGCACACACTAGCCCCAGTGATCCCACCAAGGTGGCCACAGGGTGGTGCACACCAAGACACCTCTGGTTAGCATTCAGTATAGTTCTTGCCTTTGTACCTGACACAGGTGTGAAGCATCCCAAAACATTCCCTGCCTATGCCCCTTTGGCTTCAGGTGACTTGCTAGAGTATCCCAGTACTAAATGTTCTTGTACCTTCCAGGCTGATGTTTGCTTCAGATCCTGCTACCCCACCAGGGTGCACCCGATGTAGAACACCCCAGAAACACAGAGCCACAGCTTCAGTCATGCAGAGAGGGCACCCACTGTAGTGAGCACCCTGGGAGACCCTGGTTTGCACCTACTTCAGCTTCAGCTGTCTTGTTAAGACACATTTACACAGACAACCCAGAGACCACACTGGCCCATGCCCACTTGAGATTTAGGTGTCTTGCCAGGATGCCCCCTGCACAGAATGCCTCAGGACCTCCTGGTCTGTAACCCACCTTGGCTCCAGTCACCCCCTTAGGTTACCTTCTGTGTGGAGAGTCTTGGAACACCCCAGTTTATACATACTTCAGTTTTAGCTATCCTGCTTAGATTCCTTCTGTGTGTAGAGCCCTGGGACACTTCAGCTTCCACCTATTTCAGTTTCAGTTATCCTTCTAGAGAGAGCCAGGGACCTCGTGGCTCACACACTACCTCAGAGCCAGCTACCCCACTAGAAGTCTCCCTCCATAGAGTACTCTGGGGTACCGTGGCTTGTACCCACCTCAGCTTCAGCTGTCCTGCCAGGGTGCCCTCAGCCCATAGAACCCCAGGACACACCAGCCTGTGTCCACTTCAGCTTTAGCTGTCATGCCAAGGTGTTCACTTTGTGAAAAGCCACAGGATCCCCAGCTTGTACCCAGGTTAGCTTCAGGTGTCCTGCCAGGGAGCTCTGTGTGGAGAGACCCAGAACTTCCCAATCCACACACCACCTTAGCTCCAGATACTCTGCTAGGGCATCCTTATCAGGGAGCACTCCAAGATCCCCCAGCATGTACTTAGTTCAGCTTTAGCTGCCCTGCCGGGTACCCTTAGAATGAAGAACCACAGGACCTCCTAACCTGCACCCACTTTAATTTTAACTGTCCTGCCAAGGTGCCTTCTGCATGGAAAACACTGAGACTTCCAAACCCACTCCCTGCCTCAACTCCAGCTGCCCTGCCAGGGTACTCTCTCCATTATAGTGTCTGGATAACCCAGCTTACTTCCACTTCAGCTTTAACTGTCCTGTCAGGCCACCTAACGTGTGAAGAGCCCAGGAACCATATCAACCTATGATCATTTAAGTTTTAGCTCTCCTTCCAGTGTACCCACTGTGTGGAAAGCCCCAGGATACCCAGCTCATGCCAGACACAACTCCAGCCAGCAAAAGTCACTAAGCACACAGAGTTTACCTAGGGGATGACCATACACAAAACCATTCATTCAAGTTTAGGAGAAGCAGCTGTTCCACCTAACCCATAGAAACAAACACAGAAAGTCAAGCAAAATGAGGAGACAGGAATATTCACCAAGAAAAGGAAAATACCTAAAAAAAAAAAAAAAAGTAAATGAAATAGAGATAAGCAATATGCCTGGTAAAGAATTTGAAGTGATGAGTGTAATTATGCTCACGAGGCTGGAGAAAAGACAGGAACTCAGTGAGATATTCAATAAAGAGATAGGGAATATATTGGTAGTGATTCTATACACTAATAATAAAGTAGCAGAAAATGAATTTAAGAAAAAAATTTTCTTTACAGTTGCACCAAAAGGAATAAAATACCTAGGAATAAACATCATCAAGAAGGTGAAAGACTTGTATTCTTAAAACTATAAAACATTAATGAGAGGAACTGAAGACAGCACAAACAAATGAAAAGATATTCATTTTTTGAATTATGGATTCAAAATTATGATTGGAAGAATATTGTTAAAATGTCCATACTACCCAAAGCAATCTACAGATTCAAAGAAATCCCTATTAAATACCAACAACAGTTTTCACAGAACTAGCTCAAGTAATACTGAAATTTGTAAGGGGACACAAAAGACCTTGAACCACCAGAGCAATCTTGGGAAAGAACAAAGCTGGAGGTATCACAATTTCAGGTTTCAAGATATACCACTAATCAAAACAAAAATAGACATGTAGATCAATAGAACTGAATAGAGAGTTGAGAAATAAACCTGCACATATATGGTTAATCTATGATAAAGGACATAAGACCATACAATATGGTAAAGTTAGTTTCGTCAACAAATGGTGCTGGGAAAACTGTAGTGCTACATGCAAAATAATGAAACTGGATCACTTTGTAGCACCATACACAAAAATAATCTCCAAATGGATTAAAGACCTAAATGAGAGACATTAAACCATGGAAATCATAGAAAAGAATACAGGTAGTGATTTATTTGACATTAGCCATAGTAACATTTTTTAGATGTGTCTCCTAGGGCAAGGTAAACAAAAGCAAAAATAAAGTATAGAAACTACATCAAAATAAAAATATTTTGTATTGTGAAGGAAACCATCAACAAAACAAAAAGGCAACCTATGGAATGAGAGAAGATATTTGTGAATGATATATCCAATAAGGAGTTAATATCCAAGATGTATAAAGAACATACACAACTCAACACCAAGAAAACAAACAACCTGATTAAAAAATGGGCAGAGGACTTGAATAGATATTTTTTTCTAAAGAATACATATAGATGGCTAACAAACATGAAAAGATGCTCAACATCACAGATTATCATGGAAATGCAAATGAAAACCACATTGAGACATCATATTACATCTGTCAGAATGGCAAAAAAAAAAAAAGAAAATGAAACAGAAATAACAAGTGTTGGTGAGATGTGGAGAAAAAGTAATCCTCATGCACTATTGGTAGGAATGTAAATGGGTACAACCACTGTGAAAAACAGTATGGAGTTGCCTCAAAAATTACAAATAGAAACACCATATGATCCAGTAACTTCACTACTGGGTATATACCCAACAAACATGAAAACACTAATTCAAAAAGATATATGCACACCTATGTTTATTTCAGCATTATTTACAATAGCCAAGATATGGCAGCAGCCTAAGTGTCCTTCAGTAGACATAATGGATACCATGAAAAAGAATAAGATTTTGTCACTTGCAACATTGATGGACATAGAGAGTATTATGTTAAGTAAAGTAAGACTGAGAAAGATAAGTACCACATGATCTCACTCATATGCGGACTCTAAAAAACATAACAAATGAATAAACAAACAAAAAGCAGAATCAGGCCTATAAATACAGAAAACACACTGATGGTTACCAGAAGTAAGGGGTGATAGGCAAAAGGAGTAAGGGGGAGTGGGAATACAGACTTCCAGTTATGAAATAAACAAGTCATGGAATAAAAGGCACCATAGAGGGAATATAATCAATGATGTTGTAATAGTATTGCATGGTAACAGTTGGTAACTACACTTATGGTGAACATAACATATAAAGAAATTGAAGCACTATATTGTAAACCTGAAACTAATGTAACATTGTGTGTCAACTGTACTCAAATTAAAAAAAAAAGTTTAAAAATAAATTTGTATTTTAGCCTAAGGACAATAAGCAGCAATTGAAATGTTAAATACATATGTAGATATTTAACATTTAACATATTTAAATGTTAACATATTTTATATTTAACATATACACATATATATATATTACAACTATTTCCTGTTATTTTTGTGTCCCTCCCAAATTCATATGTTGAAATTCATGTGTTGAAATCATCCCAAAGATGATAGTATTTGAGCTAAGTCTTTGGAAGGGACTTAGGTCATAAGGGTAGAGCCCTCATGAATGGGGTGAATGCCTTTATAAAAGATGTTCCAGGGAGGTCTAGTCTCTTTCATCATATAAGGATACAAAGTGCTGGCTATGAACCAAGAAGGAAGCCCTCATAATAATGTGATCAAGTTGGTGTCTTGATGTTGGACTTCCAGGCTCCAGAACCATGAAAAATAAATTTGTTGTTTAAGCCCTTCAAAAAACAAAACAAAACAAAATAAAAATAAATAAAAAAGTATTCTGTAAAACTATACTGCAACTAACAGCAGAAAATTACCAGGCAGAATTTTCCTAACTCTACTGCATACTTTTAACTAGTACACCAAATAAGAGTGCACCCTTATCTGTAACATGTTTATGAATTCACTGTATTTTGACTCTCATGCTTACTCCCTACATAAATTAGCTACTCCTTAAGATTGTCAATAAACTATAAAAAGAAAACAAAGTTGACATTTTCACAAAAAACTCCAACATTAAAATGATGCCAGTGCTGTTATAGTCATCTTTTATAGAGCCTTTCTTTTCCATTATTCATTCTAATCAACAAGGAAAGTTAGAGAGAGGGAGAAAAATTAGTGATTCAGTATCTGCAGCAGTCCTAGGACCAAAAAGTCTGGTTAGAAAAGCCATAGCAAGGCTTCTGAAGATGTGTTAGCACTGTTTCTAGTCTCAGGTGTGTTAGTCTGATTGTCTAAAGCCTTTAAACCTAGGAGGAAGTAGAAGTAGAGAAGATACCTCTACTTTAGTGTTAATTATGATGACAAGTCCATTTGGAAACACTGAAATATCTAGCAGAATCGAGTCCCAGTAGCTAGTGATCGTTCTTTAAAACTCCTAGAAAGAAAAATATCTCTATAAAAGGTAAAACTATGAATTAGTTGGGGGAACATAAATGGATCTACCACTGTAGACACGGGACTGACTACTTGAATATTTTTAGGGACTTCGGATATCATGGATTGGGCTCTTGATTCTTCTGTAGCTCCAGTTCTGCAGCTTTTTGCATGGCTGCATCAACCAGCAGCTGGAAGCTGCTGAAGTCCTTGTACTCCTCTGTTAACACAGGTTTGGGAGATGTCATAAGCAAGGGTTCACTAGTAGAAAACTTGACCTTTTTTTTTTTGGCTGGGCCTTTGGGGTGAGCTTCTGGCCTGGAGACAACTCTGAATCTAGCAGCTTCTCCCCTGACTTTTGGCTCATTGGAAGGAGGCTCAGGGGCAGGCACGGCGTTTTGTCTGGATCTCTGGGACTTGACCTGGCCTGTATAGGTGAATCTGTGCTCTACTCATGGGTCACATAAGCAGACTTGCCTTTTTGGTGGTACATGGTGATCTAGTTGGGGTCATTTCCATCTTGTTGTAGCATTTCTGGAAGAACACGTCTGCAGTCATTGATAAACCAGTTAGAGATCTGCAGGAAAGACAAATTAGTCTGCTTGGACAGCATTCGCTTCTCTGCTTCTGAAGGGTAGGCCCTAAACTGGTGTTCATACAGCCAGGCTTCGAGGATCTTCACTGACTCAGTTGGCAAGTACCCTTTCCACTTCCTCTTACCCTCTAGTGATGCAAGAACTTTATCTGCACCAGTGTCACTATTCAACGTGACTGAGGTGCCTTGAGCCAGGCTTTGGTTCTCTGCTGGGCTTTCTTCAGTGGCTTCCATGTTCATGAAGCCTGTCTTCACTGTTTTGAGAATCAGGAATGGCTGAGTTAGGACTTATGTGGATCTGGTGAAGAAGACATGGGCCAGTCTCTAAGGAGGAGTCTCACAAGTAGATAAACAGTGCTGGTAACTGCTTTGAGCCAGTGGGCTTTGTGATGTCACATTCTTTTTGCCCTGTGTGCTGCCCCCCCCCCCACATTTCCTGGTTCCTCCTTTACTTGCTTTTTTCTCATAGATTCAAATGCACTTGCTTTTACCTCATCAATTTAAAGCTCTCCAGACTTTTCTCTGCTGCTATCACCAGTTTCTGCTAGCTAATGATCTCAAATTCTATTGGTTAAATCTGGCTTTGCATAAGCCTCATTGTCTTCCTTTATGACTTTCCTCTGATATTTTTTTCTTTCTTTTTCCTTATAATTGCATTATTGGCTCATCTACATATATTAGATGTAACTTATCTATTAAATATTAACCTCAATAAAGGGAGAGTTTGGTGTATCCTGACTCATCCCTTCCCTATTTAAAGCTAGACAGTTATTTTTGACACCCTGCTCCTTCGATTTTTCTTTATGGCCTTGAAATGTTCAGCTGTGACATGACTTCACTATGCCACCGGGATCTTTATGTCTGTACTTTGGGCTCTGACATCCAGTTATGATCATTCTCTTTGAGGCTTCAGTCAGAATTCAGGGGTCTTTTAAAAACATGGAATAAGACAGGACTCAAGAGATAATGATCACAGACTTATATTATTTAAATCTTTCTTGATAGTTTATGTACATAGAAATTACCCTGGAAACAGATGAAAATAATTTGTAAATTGTACATTTTTATTTCAGATAACTGAAAATAAGAGTTGATTCTTTCAAGAACACTATGATCCACTTAGAAGACAATCATGGACTCTTCTTAAGGATACTGTATAGTATTACTGATTGCTAATTTCAGAGGTTTTTCTGGAGAAAACCCCAGGTCATCATCTTAAGCATCATATATTATCTACAGTTTCTATCTGGAAGGACAATATCATTTTACCCTTAAGAATTCTTAATTGGTGTCACAAGGCTGGACATCAGAATATTGTCTACTGATCCTTTGGCTGTTGGTAACCTTACCAGTGCTGACTTTCATAGCTTAAAACTTATTGTAAGGGGGACCGATTGAAATACACAATCAAATCTAATGGTCATTTTAGCAAAGCTCCCAACAACCAGAGAGTGCGTATGTTGACTAAAATCAGAGGTCTCCTTTGGAATACTCTGTGAGTGCTACTATTTCTATCAGTCTTTTGGGTGACTAGAACACAAAATAATGTTTTCTATTCATAGTGAAAACTCATTTCTTATTATTATCTCCCACCAATACATGCATGACCCATGCTCAATGAAACTACTCTTGTCTGTCAGTAATTTTCTAGTAACGTATCCTCCATCATTTGTTGCTTCTATATTCTCTTTGTATTTCTGGGATTCAGATCTCTGCTGAAGGATTGATAGAATTGTACATATTTAAATCATTGATTTATTCTAAATGACATGATCTAGGTTCTTAATTTTTAATGACTCCTTTATTAATCTTCTTTGAAAAGGAATATCATGGTGGTTCAAAATTATCACCGAGTAATTGGAAGATTTTTTTCCTTTAATACCAGCTATAGGGACATAGAAAAATTTGGCAAGTAGGTAAAAATTTAGTAAGAAACCCTTTAGTATTGATCCCTAAAAACAAGGTTTCATTTCATGATGTAACAATAGAAACACTATATAAAACCTGTATTACCTTTCTTTAAGATTTTTAAAAGATATTATTTATTTATTTGACAGTGAGAGAGACAGCGAGAGAGGGAACACAAGCAGGGGGAGCGGGAGAGGGAGAAGCAAGCTTCCTGCTGAGCGGGGAGCCCGATGCAGGGCTCGATCCCAGGACCCTGGGATCATGACCTGAGCCGAAGGCAGATGCTTAATCAACTGAGCCACCCAGGCGCCCCCCCTTTCTTTAAGTTTTTGATGATGCAAAATATGAATTAAAAAGATACTTAAGACAGTGATATATTCCTTCCATCCACTTTTTTAAAACTTCTAAAAAGCTCAAATTATTTAAATGGTTTCTATAAGATTTTTTCTCCCTTCATTGATTCTCCTAACATAAAATATCATGGGATCTTATTTAGAATACTGTTGTATATTTATAAGCATTGATTTATTTACATATGATTCTGAAAAGAGTCTTCTCATGATTATATAATGAGTGAACACAGTATTATACTGTAATATGCACATTACTTTTCAAAATTATGTAAAGCATGAAAAGACTGAAGTCTTTTATACCTTGCTGCTTATCATTTCTATTAATCTACTCATAATTGAATATCAATCTGAGTATTCTACTTTCCAAATTATGTTAGTCTATCTGTAGAGTTAAAAAAAAAGAAAAACTTAAATTTTGAATTCCAAGAAATGAAATAATGTGAAAGAAAATTGAAAACATCACTAATAAAAAGCAGAAAACTAAAATTAAAACAAAACAAAACAAAAACATTTCCTCATACAAAACACAGTGACTTAATAGAAGCAAAAATTGATGCTTTGGTAATGGGGCTTGGTCAAGTCTGAAAATAGAGAATATTAAGTGCATAGAGTTTATCATACTGTAAAGTATCTGGATAATTTCTGCCAGACACTTTACACTTTGAAATGAATTGAAGGAACATTCAGGAAGCCATCAAAAAACTCCCCAAATTGAAGGAATGGTGAGAAGTTAGGAAGAGAAAATGTAGAAACTGCCCACTTTTTCTTTATTTTTTAAATGACTTAGGGCTTAAAGAAATTTGCAAAATTGTACATAGTTCCTATGTGCTTTTAACTCAGTTTTCCCTAGTGATAACATCTTAGAAATAATAGCACATTATCAAAATGAGGACACTGATTTTGCATAATGCTAGTAACTGAAGTACAGATTTTATTCAGATTTTACCGATTTATTGTAGTTGCTTGTGTACACAAGGATGGATGGCATAATAAAATTTGTTAAATGTTTCCGTTCAAATATTTCATATACTCAAAAAATTATATCTTTACTATAATTGAGTTTTTAATATGTTTTTATTTAATTAAAATGCAAGTAGTTTAGCAGATATCTGATTTGTATATCATTTGTTAAATATATTTTTGAAAATATTTGACTCAGTATTGTGTTTATGTTGTATTTACATAACATTGTCCTTTTGACTGCAAAAGTGTTCAATTTTTATGAAACTTAATTTGTGGATTTTGGTTTTTATTTACTTCATGTTTTATGTGTGCCACTTAAGAAACTTTTGCCTATGGACACCTGCGTGGCCCAGTCGGTTTAGTGTCTGACTCTTGATTTCGGCTTAGGTCATGATCTCAGTGTTGTGAGATTGAGCCCCGAGTTGGACTCTGCACTGGGCATGGAGCCTGTAAGAGTCTCTCTCTTCCTCTCTCTCTGCCCCTCCCCCATCTCCATTTCTCTCTCTCTCCCTCTCAAAAAAGAAGGAAGAAACTTTTGCTTAGGTTTACATTTTTAGGTATAGAATTTAGGTACATTTGCCATTTAGAGTTATTTTTTGGTGCATGGTACATAATAATGTTGAAGTTTTTATTTATTATGGTGATTTGTAATCAGTGACCTTCAATGTTACTATTGTAATTGTTTCAGGGTACCACCAACTGTGCCCATATAATGGTGAACTTAATTGATAAATGTATGTTTTCTGACTACTCCACTGACTGGCTGTTCCCTGATCTCCCTCTCCTTGGGATTTCCTGTTCTCTCAGACACAACAGTATTGAAATTTAGATAATTAATAACCCTATAATGTCTTCTAAATGCTCAAATGAACATTTCACTTAAATGATTAAGCTTAATGAAGAAAGCATGTCAAAAGCTGAGATGGGCTTCAAGCTAGACCTCCAATGCCAGTTAGCAAAGTTATGAGTGCACAGAATAATTTTTTAAAGGAAATTAATAGTGCTACTTCAGTGAACACATGAAAGATAAGAAAGCAAAACAGACTTATTGTTGACATGGAGAAAGTTTTAGTGGTCTGCCTAGAAGATCAAACCAACCACAACATTCTATTCAGCCAAAGCCTAATCCAGAGCAAAGCCCTCTCTTCAATTCTATGAAGCCTGAGAGAATTGTGGAAGAAAAGTTTGAAGTTAGCAGCAGTTGGTTCATGAAGTTTAAGGAGAGAAGCCATCTTGATAACTTAAAAAGTGCAAGGTAAGGGTCTTCTAGTTATGAAAAAATAAAGTACAAGTTGAAGCAGCAAGTGCTGATGTAGTAGAGTCTGTGGCAAGTTGTCTAGAAAATCTAGCTAAGATAATTAAGGTGGCCATACTAAGGGTGCCTGGGTGGCTCAGTCGCTTAAGCATCTGACTTGATTTCAGCTCAGGTCATGATCTCAGGGTCATGAGATCAAGCCCTGCATCGGACTCTGTGCTCAGCAGGGAGTCCGCTTGAGATTCTTTCTCTCCCTCTCCCTCCCCTCTACCCTGCTCTCTTTCTCTCTCTCTCTCAAATAAATAAATAAATAAATAAATAAATATATATATATTTTTTAAAAAGGTGGCTACACTATTTTTAATGTTGATGAAGCAGGTTTCTTTTGGAAGAAGATGACATCTAAGATTCATAGCTAAAGGGAGCCTGGGTGGCTCAGTCGTTAAGCGTCTGCCTTTGGCTCAGGTCATGATTCCAGGGTCCTGGGATTGAGCCCCACATCAGGCTCCCTGCTCAGCGGGAAGCCTGCTTCTCCCTCTCCCACTCCCCCTGCTTGTGTTCCTGCTCTCGATACCTCTTTCTCTGTCAAATAAGTAAATAAAATCTTTTAAGAAATAACTTTTTTCCCCACAGGATGAGGCCATATATAATCAACAAATTTGCTTAGTAATATCAATTTCAATGTATTAAATTTATATAATATGATTTTTGTGCCTTTGTACAAATCCCAAAGAAACCTTAATATAACTTTAAGA